AGTCAAAGATCTCTATATCTCGGTTGTGCCCAACAAATTTGAAAATATAAGGAACTCAAAATATTCAATTCATCTTGAACTATTTCAATTAAAAAAAAAATTAGGGTTGTTTTTTTAATATGTGGCATATAGTGAGTTTTTAATGTCTTTAAGGCGTCTGATTTTGGATAAAGTGAACTGTAATTCTTTCCCCCGTTCTTCAGACTAGAGCTATCGAGTAAGCAGTGTCTGAAATTTACAGCAGAAGCGTAAATAGTTTCTGTGAAAAGCAAGAGAAGATCAGATTGAAGTTTCATTACCAAATTATTACTACAAGAAACATGATGCTGCGTAGAAAAGAGCTGAAGCACACACTAAACTAAGTGTTTAAGTTACTTTTTGCAAGAAAGTATATATGGAGCAGAGAACAAATACAGCATAGCTTGAAGATAATATCAAGCTTCCCTTCCTTTCTCTGCATAAGACCTGTCTTCATTCACAGCTCGCTATAACGGAGAACTTTTCCAGAAAGAGATTCTGTTGTTCAAACTTCAGAGGTGTTTTATTTTTCTCTGTACTACTTATCTCCAATTCAACCTGGTTTCTTTCCTTCTTTTTACTGGATTTTGGAAGAGCTGGTTTTGTTGATTTTCTCTGCTCTTGTTTCGATCGAGAGATCGGGACGACCAGGAATGACAAATATCTTGGATTGGACATACTTCACAGAATAAATAGAGTAAAGCTCGATATACAGAATCAAGGAGAAATAATACTGTTCTTGTGTCTTTTTTAAGTAGAAGGAAATTTTTGCTAGAATAACAAGAAGAAAAGAACTTGGGATTGAAGTCTTGCATGGATAGCAGGATGACCAAGAAAAGAATGTGGTGATACAGATAACTCTTCTGCAGAACTCCTCTCGTTCAATTTATGTGGAAAAAAGGAAAGAAGAAGCGATCTAAACCAGAGTTAGGTAATAAAATCCCCAGATATCTGCTGGAAGCGATTCAATTATTCTGGTCTATATGGTAAATTAATATATAGCAGATGGCGATGACAGAGTGATTCTACATCGATCACAGTCAAATGCTTTGAGCAGAAGTTATTGCTGTAAATGCCTTTTCTTTTTTATTCCCCTCGAGAAATAGAGTTGATAATCATGCTGCTAAAATTAAGCCGTTATGAGAAATTATTCAGTACTATCAGAACTTATTCGCCATATCACAAAAACGAGAGATCTATGAATTATCTTCATAATGAGTTCTCTATTTTTGTGTGAGGATTAATAGCAACTACTGACATACCTAACAATTTCCCAAGCAATTGAATTGTGTTGTGCCTTAATTAATTAAAAAAAAAAAAAGAAAGAAAGAAAAGAAAAAGAAAAAGGATATATGCTAGAAGAAAAGGCTTTTTATGATAACCTTTCCACTATACATTCATTGGTGCGTCACCAACAAAATACAGGTTCACTTGAAAGTGATCAAGAGTGGGGTAAGATTCTCAGGTAAAAGAAGATGAATTAATATCTATGAACAAGCAAGCATATGGTAAAGGAATTATGGAATGTATTAAGGTTCATTCGCTTTATACGCTTGAATTGATGTTTTTTATTTATTAATTACACTCGTTTGAAACCAATTTTAGAACAACCTTTTTACCAATGCCAATATAATGATTGTTATGTTGCTTTTGGGATCTTGGAAACGTATCTACATCTTTTTACTATTGGCCATGTATAAGCACGTATTCATCTTCAAATGGGAACAAACAGAGGTAAGGATAAAATAAACGGTGGTCCTTCTGGTCCCTTTTTCGGTTTTAGGTTCTTGGCATAATACTTTTCCTCTAATTCTGATTGGAGATTAGATACAAAACGAATGGCAATCAGCCAAGCCCAATAGCAGTCCCGATACTTGATAAATCAACTGTTTTTACATTGTGGACCTTTCATTTACTATAGTTAGCACTTTTTAACAAAAATCGCTAACCCTTTATGACCAGCATGCCCTGGCCGATACCATTTTTGAGTTTAGTGGTACCCGCATCTTTCTTATTTTTACATGGAAAGATTGTGCATTTCATAATCTCTTCAGGGGTTCATAAGTTGCAACTCAACGCTTTTTTCCCCTCTGGTTTCTCCCTCTCTTTTTTATGGGTCTTTCGACCACTTAATTTGTCTGCATATTCTAGCCATAGGTCTTCGAGTATATATTAAGAGATAGAAACGTTAGTTTTCTCTAGGGCACAGTATCTCTGCTCACAAGCAGCTCAAAATGTTGTGTCCGTCAGTCCATCCAAGTTCTGTTTTATATTCTGGGGCTGTCTGCGAATGGCTCTTGCTGCTAATAAAAAAGAAAGGTGTTTTATTATAATGCCCTTTGTTTAATTGGTTTAAAATGCCTTTTCCTTGACAACAGAGTTATTTTTCTAATTATTTTTATGGTAATTTTTGCATTCAAATAAAATACTCATAACAGATGCATTAGAGATTTACATTTTTCTGTATTTGATGGATCGATCAAAGGCTAGAGCTCATCCATTTCATGCTATGACCATGGCCACATATATGCTTCACCGTGATGGCTAGATGTTTGACCGTTGCCGACGGGTCGATCCAGAAAGGAAATGATATAGTGTGACAATTTCCCAAGATCACGAAAGAATATGCTCATGAAAACGAGCTCTTTTATTTCCGCTCTGCAAGTAAATTTTTCCATGTATCCATGCTATAAGAATTTAGAATTTTACCTAGCAATTGACAGACAACATATTGCGGTGTTTTTTTTTTTCCTCCTTTGATACGACACGTTATAAGCAACAAAAATGCTCCGTGGTAATTTTACATTATCTGGGAACATAAATTAATAAGCAGCTAACTTGTAGTTATAAACAAATGTTAACGTATCACATATATTTGTAATGCGAGTCATTTATAGTTAATTGACAAAATCTATAGTGACTTTGGTACTGTAATTTTCTTCATTTTAAGTTCCATTGCAACTTTTTTTTTTAATCGTAATGCACTATATAATGGAATTAACATGCTTTCACCTCTCAAAAGTATTCCACGAACATGCTTTTTCTGAATACCTACCTTGAAGTGACACGTATGACCTCCCCCTCCAAACTACCATAACCCCATCTCTGGTATCGGATTGTGTGTTATCGAGCCTTGTGGTCTCATCATCATCCCTAAGCATCAGAGCCGTCTATCTCGTGAGATAACTGGGACCCTCTAAGTACACTCATCCAATCCATGTTTATGTGGGCCAGATGTGCTTGCCACTTTATCCAACCGAGAGTGGGTTTGGCGCGTGCAACGCACGCATCCTCGCACTTCCCTTTGTTCTAGGGAGAAAAGGCGTTAGGTTTCACGTATTTAATCAATTTTTTTAAAAAATTATCTTACCTAAAATACCCCGATGCATTTCAGAGTAATGATCGCGTGGGCACGCTTCTATGACATTTTATCAAACCAACAAATGAGAAAATAGAGAGAAATTGTGCCGTGATTCCAAAAGTAATTATTAATACTTATTCCGTAACATGGAGACAAAAAAATTTGAGAATTTAAAATGTTACAAAAATAGCATTACATTAAATATAAATATTAATAATATTAATAGCATTTTACTTAATCAAATCAATAACTTGTAATGAGATCGCTAGTGTGAGGTTATTATCAAATACGAAATAACAATATCATTAATTTATTTTTTATAATATATACTTATAAGATATTGTCTACTAATATATTTATACATAATTCAATTTTTTTTAACATATGAGGGTGATAATTAATTGAATTTTTTCTCACTTCTGCCTTTCATTTTCACACTCATATAAAATAGATCAAGTTTTAACTAATTAATAATGAAAAAACCAATCTAAATACAATGATTTGGTAACATAATGACTGAAAATTTCTTTTTCTTAAGAAGGTTATATCAACTAGAAAACACAACGTTATACTAAATTAGTATTTGTATGGAAAAATCTTAAACTAAAGTTTTAAAATGATAAACTACAAACTTTGTTTTGACAAAACGCAAAGCTGACTCCTTATTTCTAACTCATGTTAGAAGTTCTTATGCATTTATACAAAGGGATAGTTTTTTTAATATCTAGTTTTTTATTTTTTATTTTTATATTCAACAATTCCTAAGCATTGATAGAAAGAAATAGTTTTTTTAATGTCTAGTTTTTATTTTTTTATTTTGATATTCAATTGTTGATTTTAAATTACAAGGCTATCAACAGTTACATACATGAGTATGTTCTTATTAATACACTAATTGTATAAATAATATTAAAAATATATTCTTTTTTGGACAATAAATTAAAGATAAGACAAACCAATGGCTTATAAAAAGATTAGAAGTTATGAATTGAACATATAATAGTATTTTATTATTTAGTTTAAATATATATAAGGTTTTATTAAGATTAAATCTAACTAAATAAAAAAATATAAGATTGAATTATGATTTTTATTTGTAGAATAAATGATTGATGAATAAAGAAAATTACAAAGAACAAAGGAATGGCAAGACAGATACACGTTACCGATGACGAACCACATCCGATAATTGCCCGCCTATAAATCATTTTTTTTGTAGGCTTAGACATGTATAATGACGTGTAATAGCGGCAGGCTTTTTCCCTTTCCTCGAGCCAGCAGTGTAAATAATAAAACATCTTAAGGACAAAAGTGTCCAAATAAAAAATACTAATAAAAATCGAAACATATGAAGGGCCGAGAAAGCAACAGAAAGTTAATAAGAAACCCTCATTATCGAGTTCTGTGAGATCTGCAGCGAGCAAAAACAATAGCAAAGAGAGCCCCTCTTCCTCTCCCTCCTTCCCTTATTTTTTTCCTCTGAACAAAAAACTTGCTCTCCCTCTCTTCGTTGGATCTAATATACAGAAACAACAACTTGTCCTTGTAACTATATAAACCCATAATTATTTTTTTTCCTTCAAATATGAGGATTCGAAAGAACGCAAAGCTCTCGCCTCTCATGTTCTCACACGGTTCAGAAGCTCAGCCACTGCAGACACACGTTTGTCAGCTAAACCAGTCACCATGGGATGTGATTTCTTTCTCTGAAGAAACTTATTATCCATCTTCTTCACTCTACCAGGTAAGTTTTTATTATAAATGTCTCTCTTCATTTTCCTTCATTTTTCATCGTTTTTTGACAGATCTATCCGAACCCTTCCTCTATTTATCCTCTCCTTACCCGCATTTCCTCATCTTCTTCCTAGGGTTTTTCACATATCAAACATTAGGGTTGCTTTAAAACCCTAAATTTTCTTGGTTTTGTCGTGTCTTCTTCTCCTAATAGATGATTAGGTTAATGGGTCTCCCTCATTTCTTACTCTTTGGTTCTTCGCTCTATCAGTTCGAAGGAGAAGATAGCTTTAATGGCAATGGTAGCTTAGGTGATTCTATTGGTGCTGTTGAGAGGTAATTTAATCTCCACTACCAATTTTGATATATCATATTGTTTAGCATTAGGGTTTTTGGAATAGCTCAATATTTTGGAAGTAATTGTTGGAAATTTTTGATGGAATGATAAGTTTGTATTTGCGGCTGTTGAATATTGTGGGGATTGTATAATTATGCGCAGTGTCGCGTCGATGATGATCGAAGATTCAGAAGAGAAAGGAATGATGAAAATGAATGTGGATAATATGGTTATTATTGACGATAAGTATGAAAATGATGGTAACAAGAGATCAGAAATGTTCGACGATTACGAAGAAATGAAAATAGATAGCGAATTCAAAGTGAAGAAATGCAACAAGACTGATGGGAAAGGCTGGCATTCCAAGAACGAGACTAAAGATGGGCAAATTATGGACGACCATCATCATCATTTGACATCTCTCAAATCATCATATGGCACCGGCAACAACAACATTAATGGTACTACTGCTACAAAAAAACCCGATAAATGCACTTCTATCATTGGGGCACGCCGTGGTCGGGCAAAGTCTTTTAAAAAAGGGTCATCATCGAACTCAAATCCGTATGAATTTTACTATTATTCTGGGTTTGGGCCGTTGTGGGGCAAGAGAAGAGGGGATAGAGATGGAGTTAACAAGAATGAGGGCAAAGATGTTGATAATAGTACTGTTATTGATTCCATGACTCAAAATACGACACCATCTACAAGTTATTCACCGATTGAAAATAATCAAGAGTTTGATTATGTTGAAGAGGATGACGACGAGGAAGAGGAAGATAGTGGTAAGAAACGGATGCGGAAACCAGTGAAAGCGAGGTCTCTGAAGTCTCTTATGTGAAGGGTTTGGAAGAGGAGCGATAGAAGAGAGGACGCTGTGGCTGCTACTGGTTTTTTGTTTTTTTTATTTTTATTTATTTTGTTGTATTGAAATTATCGGGCTGTTTTTTTAGGGTTAGGGGAGCTTTTGTGATAATTTTGTTGCACATGTTGTTGTGTATTGCGATGTGTGAGATTAGTGATTTCTCTGTAACATGACAGTAGGAGAAGTTGTAGGATGTGAGACGAGTGGACCTAGAGATTGTGTAAGTCAATGCTTTGAAATTGGAAGGGTAGTTTTGTAATTTTGTTTTTGTTTGATCTTTTTCTCAACAGCGGCTTTGTTGTGGAGCGTAGTTGCGTAGATCTTTTTAGATCCGGAGTAACGTGGCGAATTATATGACTGTGGTGTAAATAAAATAAACTAAAGGAATTAAATGGTACTTTATATTTTTGTTATTTTCCCATGCAAATTAACATTCTGAGTCCACGATTCAGTGGGTTAATTATTTCGCAATTGGATTTTTATTTTTTATTTTTTAACATGCACGCACTTTTATTATTATCATGACGGAAGCATTTGAATTTTCATTATAAAAAAAAGGAAAAAAAAAAAAAGAAATTCCTTAACGGAAACGTGCATGAGGGCAGTATATGATGCCTTGTTAGTAACATGACTTCGAAAGCAATTGAACTAACATTGTTAACATTGTTTGCAATCTTAAAACCTTAATTTAGTTGGATAAGGTACATACATGTTAATTTTTTTGATAACCAAGTAATCAGCAGAACCTCAAGTATGTTTTGAATCTTAATACTCGGATTTTTATAATTCTTCGTACATTCAAAAAACACTCCTTTATCCTTAAGGATATCAATTAGGATTTGGAAAATTTTTTGGGAGTATTATTGTTCATTACTATTTTTTGAAAGTATAAAGTAATATTATTTAAGAAAAAAAATAAATCATTTTTTCTAAATTAAATTGAAATTAAAGTGAGAGATTTTGAATTAACATAGATGGCGATTCGCCCCGTCCAACCTTATAGAAGATAGTCGGGGGGAAAAAAAAATCTAGCGCAAGGAATGAGTTTAGCCTGTCATAACCCTCCCCAAACCCAAGTAATAAGTAAATTATAAATTAGTCCCTTTAGTTTTAAAAGATAAATTAATTAGTTTTTCTTGTTTCAAAAACTACTATTTGGTTTTTTTAATTAGTGTTTATCATGTTTCATTTCACATTATTTTGATTCTACAAAATCTCTTATTTCCTCACCAATTTTTCTATATTTTTCATATTTTTTCCTTTTCTATTTCTTAAAAAAAATTTAAAAAAATTAAAAAAGAGCTAAAAGAACTAAATTACAATTAGATTTTAAAATATAAGGACTAAATTATTAGTTTTTGAAACTAAAAGGACTAATTAACTCCTTTCTCAAAACAAAAGGAACTAATTTATAATTTACTCCCCAACTAATTAATAATTTTTTTTTTCATGTTTACCTGTATATTGCTTGCTATGTTAAAATATCATGACATTAGGGAATGCGTAAATAATAATCTTTTTATAAATGCATATATTAAAAAACATTATGAATAATAAAAATCTGACTCCGTACGTCTCAAATTTGTTAAGGATTTAGTGTCATGAGAGTACTGCACGCGACTTGATTCATTGCTATTCCTATGGAGATTAAAGACTATCCAGAGGAAGCCGTTGTTCGGATTTAAATGCATAAAGCTATGTATGTATATTTATTGGGCAAATCTATCAAACCAACAGAAAGAAAGAGAGTGATTTCAATTGCGAAAGGAAGATCGATCGTGGGCCTGGGTGTTACAAGGGTTTTTTCTTTCATTTCCATATTTTTCTAACAAATTACGGCACCGCAAAATAATCAATTTTCCGTCATTTGACTCTACGTACGACTTGAATGCCTCGTTTGCTTTGTGGATCGGTGGACTTCTTTCCCACTAATCTTCTCCCTAATTACAACCAATTATAAGTCAAAATTATCAGTACTATATATATATATATATCATTTTCTATGTCTGAGTGAACTCATGGTACTGTTCGTGCCAAGCCTGTCAATCATTTTCATGTATTTTCAATAGATTTTATATGTAAAGATATCTTAAATTTTGATTTTAACGTAAATACAACGACTTATCTCTGTTTGTGAATGTTGCAGACTGACAGATATAATGTTATTATTTGTTGAGTATATAGTTTAACTATAAATACACATTCATTAGGGAAAAAAAAAAAAGCTAAGCCAATATCCGTTCTAAACTCTAAAGAGTTTGTACATATTTTCTTACTGAGATAGTTCCTAAAATATTGTATATCTATGATCTAAAATATTCACGCACATTTCATCCTTTTCAACAGAAATCGTCTTAATTGATTTTTGAATGCGACCAAATAATATGAAAAGTAGAAGTTAATGGTGTAGACCATGATCGTTTAGTATAAAATGATCATAATTTAGTGCATTAGTAATATTTTACAAGAGAGGAATATGGTTAATTAGGTTTATATATTAGTGCTTCCCATGGTAACTTAACGTCGTTGTATTATTGGTGACGTTGTTTGATTAAATTAATTTAGTAGTAGGTTGCCAAAAACTTGATTTTTCATAATTTATGTTCTATTTCAGACATAAAATTTCTTTCCTACTGTTCACTTACAATTTTCTAATCTTTGTTATACTTTCTGAGATTTACTTACAAGATAATTAAGAAAACTAACGAGGTCAAGCAGTGTAATAATTTTCGAGAAAGCTATCGTTCATCAATTTAGAGGGAAAAGAAAAAGAGAGAGAGATTTGAAAACCCATCCAAAAAATAAAATTATCCATCAAAGCAGTCCTTGTGTGGTGAAATTTTTCAAAGCGAGCCCAGAAACTGAGTGCATATAGGCACGACTGCCTGGGATGTTGGGACTTGGGAAGACAAAGGAATTTATAGACCAAATTTTGTAAATTACTAAATTTCTTTTTGGGGGACAAAAGGTACGTACACTCCCACCTTTGGTTTGGATTCTTTATAATTTACAGATTAAACTCCCGAAAAATGAAAAGACGAGCACGCTCCTCATGCGCGCGTAGGGACAGAATTGGATGGCTCATTTCAGCAAAAAGCTGCAACTAGATGGCTCATCTTTATTTCGCAGGACCTTCATTGGCAATCAAATAAATGTACTTATTTAATTATTTGAAAATCCATCTGAAAAAAATTCGACTTTTGAATCAGGGTTGAAGATGCTAGAGGCCCCCCCGTTTGGGAAGTAACGAGCTTTTGATTCTTGGATGAACGATGATAGGAGTTAGGAAATGTAAGTAGCTTTATTAAATTATGCTTTGAAAGTTGTTTCAATGGCTTTTTTTTTTTTTTTTTTTTTAGGAATTGCAACAGCTAAGCTACAAAGCTATAGGTTTTTTTAGTACTTATTTTCTTTGAAAAACATTTTCAACAGTACATATTGCTATAATAATAATACTAATAAAATTCTAACTTCAGTTAACACATCTATAACATTCACAAGTTGAATCTATACCCAACTAGAAAGTGTGATCTAAACCAATAGGTAGGTGTAGTATAAAATATCGATCTTTACATTATATAACAATAATTATGTAACGATTTTGAAATATTTTATTATCATTATTTAAGTATTATAATAAATCATGTTTCGTGATAACGATCACAATTGTTTTTTTAACGGTGTGTGATTTAAAACTATAAGGTGTAATACCCCTCCCAAATTGAGGTGTAAAAATTCGTATTTTTACTTAGAAGTGAATGGGTAGGAAGGATACAAGATCATCCTAAAAGACTTCATTAGCAATGCATGGCGTAAATTAACTAATTGGTAAAAATTCCAGAGAGACATTAGTTTAAATTGATAAGTGGCAGTTTAAATTGAAATTATGTTAAAATGTCAATGTTTGATCAGTTTCAACTTGCTGAAAATTACAGTTGATGTAGAAATTAATAGCTACAGGTACAAGGACTCTTCAAGTAACATGATAGACCCAATAGCAGTAGATGCCTGTGTGTATGGATATATGTGCCAGCAGATTAGTGGTTGTGGAAGTGGTTATGCTCATTTCACTTCAACACACTGCAAGAGAAACAAAGATCTCAAAATATGTCATAAATTAGCTTCATCCTCGAAAGCTTAAACAAAGCGCTGCTTTTGTTCAAGCAGCTTCTAGCTTAGCCCAGCCAGTTTTGGACCAAAGTTTAGTTTACTAATTGTGTTGCATGATTATGCACAGTTTGTAAGAATACACAAAATGCATGACAAACAAAGCAGCACAGTCAAGCATACCAGCGCTTCGAAGCTCATAACATGCAGACAAGACAAAAACTTCAAACAACCTTATCACAACACATCCATGGAGAATTTTGCAGATACCTTCTACCCATTTCATGCCTTCTGTTAAAACACTGGGATAGGTTTTTCCTTTTTCCTTTTTCTTTCCACCTTATGATGTGGGGAATGGTTGTGGGTAAGCACACTTGTTATAAAATATAATTTTGCCTTCAAATTATATAAATCCAAATCTAACCATTTCACCATATCATTGACCTGCCGGGGAAAGCAAGCAACGACAATACCTCGAGGCAAACCATTACACCAGAAGAAATTATATCTCTAGATAAAATGTAGTATGGAAGTACATGATGACAACATAAAAAGAACAAAATATAGTTGCAAAACATAAACAATTACAAAGATCTCAAATATCTTTCGTGTTCATAAGAAGGTCAGGATTTGTCCAACATGAAGTTTGCAACAAGCAGGTTGAACTTTGAACACTTGTGATTTTTTTAGTAGAATCTAATTGATTCATTGAATACCTCTTAATTGAACTAAATCTGATTTAAGCTAAACATGTTGAAAAAATAATGTAGCATTGTTGGCCTTCTTTAAGCTAATGGTTATTTGATATTCGAAAACAAAATCACAAGCAATATAAAGAAATCCCATATATTTCCAGTCCCAAAGAACTTACTTGTAGAGATAGGCAGCAATACTTAAGAGTATAACCAAGAGGATGATATCAATGCAAAAGTTGCGACTGGACCTCAGCTGAAATAAAACCAAAATACATACAAAAGAAAAAACGAGTAGCAGACTTGAAAGAGTTGAAAGGGACAGCAATAATTTTCAATTTCGTATTATCAAATTAAGAATGTACTTACCTTGTTTAAAGTATCCTTAAGTCTCACATTGGTAGTTTTAAGGTCAGAGGTTGCTCGGTCAACCTGCAAGAATGTCAGAGAATTACCAATTAATTTGTAGCAAATCATTTGAGTTAAAACATCAAAACAAATAAAGGCCATTTTGCAATGAATAGTATGCACAAAAAGTATCAGATGATCTTTTTTTGTTCAATGTAACAATCATTACTTCTAAGAAAAATTTCACTTCCCAGCAACCAAATCAAGGATAGTAACTATGATTTTCTTTTAACATATCAGAAACAGGTATATCTTATTGCCCAAGGGGAAAGCTCACTTTTCAAAGGACGCTAATAACAGGGAAGAGAAAAATACCTTGTCATCGATTTCATCCATCAATGGCACTTGTCTGTCCAACTCCTGCAGACAAGATTCGTAATTCAGCAATGGACAAGATTCAAAACATTTAACATTCATCAAAAGTTCATTGAAAATAAGACATAAACAAACCTCATTCATGTCACGGGCCATGTCTTTCAGCGTGTCCAACCCTTCTGCAATAACGTCTAACCCTTGATCCTGAATGAAGTCAAATACATCGCAGAATAGATCATTAATAACTTCACTTAATTTTGCTCCATTAACCTTATTGCATAAGAAATCATGACCTTTTCGGGATTAACATAGTACAATAGCTTTGATAAAAAATAAAAACTTAGTACAAGCAGCTTACAAAGTCTAACCACAAAACATAATCGTTAGCCACTCTCAAAACGAAGAAAAAGCACAAAACACTTGCCTGTTTCAGTCTCCGCATTTCATATTCCTGCCTAAACCGATCCGACGCTTCAGTTTGTTGAAAATACTCATCATCAAATTTCCCATCTAATCAAAATTCAAAAGAAACCATTAAAATTTTAACTACAATCATCCCATCCACAAAACCAAAACAAACAATCAAAAACCAATAATCAATTCCAAAATTCATTCATTTACCATAAGTTGAATCAAATTTAATTCCTCCATACGATGCTGAAGGCGCCGAATCTCCGCCTTGTTTAGCTACACTGGTATTTCCATCTGCTACAGCTTCAATTCTATCTTTCAATGCAGCAACCAAATCACTTCTCGCCTCGTGCTCTTCTTTCGATAGCCCTTTCGCCTACACCCAAATTTATTATTATCGTTAATTCCCATTGTTTCTAACAACAAAAAACACGTTTTTCAAAATGTCAATCAACTATGGTAAATTTACGATATACCTTTTTAAAAGCAAGTCTCTGTAATTTAGAGACTTCTTCAAGTAATCGAGCCTTTGTTCTTCGAATCTCGGCATTCATAGCAACAGCCGTGGCCCTGCTTTTCTCTGTTGTCACTGCCTCTGATTTCTACTAAAAAAAAAATTCATTCTTTCCATTTCACTTCAAAGGAACAAAACAGAGAATAAGAATCAACAAAAGGGACGTAGATGTAATATTTACCAGGAGAACAGCATCGAGGTCGGCTTCAACGACGGCGTATAAGCGAGCAAAAGCATCGTCGCCTGCACCGTTAAGGTTTTTCTGCTTATCGACATCGTATTTGTCAAATTTTTTGCAGATTGAATCGACTCGCGTGATCAAATCGATCACGGTCATTATTTTGGTTGGATTGAAACTGAAATTGGTTTTTTTTTTTTTTTTCGGTTCTGTCTCCGACAAGTTTTGTTTGAGCTGTTTTTTTGTTGTTTTAAAAGTTCTGTTTGTTTGGACAAAGAGACGGCGAGATTTTCGAAGGCGAAAACATTGTGGGCCTGTGTCTAAGTTCTTACATTTTTAAGATTGACGTTTGATAATGACACGTGTAGATAATATAGAGTTATTTTGACCAATCGGATGGTTGGGATAGTACAAACATTCTTCCTTTTCTGAAATATCGGACTTAATTATCGTCGGCAATGGCCTTTTCACTTCTAATTTTAATATTGTTTTCCATAAAATTTTAACAATCGAGTTATAACCATAGAATAGAAACACTTCTTTAAACATAATTTCGTCCAAAAATGAAAAACCACTTACTTTTTTTTTGAACTAGATATGTGAATTATATTTGATATTTATTTGCTCAGACCAAAATAGGCATAAAAAAAAACTTTTACCTCCATAAGTACATAGTTGAATGCACATAAAAATTATTAGATTTATTCCACTATTAAAGTAAATAAAAATAATATAAACTACATTTTGAAATAAGTTTTTGAATTATCAGAAAAAATTTACGATATAATTTATACTATTTTCTTACGTTATTATTGTTCTATATTAATTTTTAGATATGTTTTAATTTATTTTTTCAAATTCATTCTTAAGAAGAGTAACGAAGACCTTCATTTTTTTTTAAATCATATTTACCTTTTGTTGGAGAATTTTTAATAAGAATGACACTACATGAGTAGATTCTATGAATTCAATGGTTAAATTTTAGCTTATTTTTTGGAATTTGAAAAAAAAGAAAAAGAAAAAGCAATACAGTCCTCACAACACATGACAATATCTCATACCACATGTTTGAGACAATATTTGTTATGTCACATATATTTTGAAAATCAAAATCATGCAAGTTTATTAAACTAAGGATTTTTTATTGACTATTTTCTATGTATATAAAAAACGATTTTTATTGACTGAAAATCATAAAACCCTCAATGCTCCTCATGCTCGTGGCTTGAGAGGCCGCGGAATTCCCACTGGAACTCGTTATTTTTAAGAAAAATTGTTTTGACAAAACAACCTGTCATTTATCTGCATTTGAAATCTCTGCCGTTAATTGTAAAAAGGAAAAACTAAAAATCTCTCCCATTGGAAAAATCCTCAAGAAAAAAGGAAACAAATCTGACGCAAAACTTACCTTATATTATATGCTCATCGAATCTTACTTTTGCAAACGTAATCGCTTGTTCATTAACGAAGTCCATATCATACAATTACAATGCTAATCTTCATCCCTTTTAAAAGATTTTTTATCAAATTAATTAATAAATAAACTAAAACTAAATTTTTTAATGTTGCTAATTTTTTTTCATTAATGAAGTCCATATAATACAATTACAATTACAATGCTTATTGAATCTTACCTTATATATTAAATGTGGTTCCAATGTTGCTAATTTTTTTTTTTTGGATTTTTGTGATTTTATTTTTTATTAATGTTGCTATTTTTTATTTTTATTTTAGTCATTAAAATTTTATCATGTGAGATTTTTATTTCTACATGCTGATTTTATTTACCTTTTCATTTCCATCATTATATTATATTTTTTATTTTATTCATTCAAATTTTAAAATTAATTTTATTCTGCTCTCGTTTATTGTTATATTTAATTTTTCTTAAAATGTTTTATCCAGTTATTGAAAATATCTTCTTTATTTGATTTTAATATGTTGTTGGAATAAATTAACATGTATATTTATTTAAATAATTTTTTCAGTAAATGCCTGTTATTGCAATCATCTTTTTTATATTTTTTTTAAGAAAAAAAAAGTTCAGTAAGACCTGACATTGTTCGTCATAATAACATCAACACGTACTGTGATGTAATGCTGTGTGCATTTGAGTTACAGCACTTCCCAAAGATTCTACCTAACCAAGCATCTCTCATAAGTGGCGCGTGCTCAAAACGCTCCATCATTTGCACGTGTGCTTCGCTCTGCAACAAAAACACCATGACAAAACCCAAGCCAACAGCTACATTTAGTCACCTTACACGAAATCTTAAACAAATTCATGTACAAAGGAAAAAACAAAATTAACTATACACACTAAACAAATGCTGATTTATTACTTTAATCCCCTTGCTAATAAATCACATCATCGTCTTTTTCAGTACTAAAAACATGGCAAAGAATTCGATTCTGTTCTGCTTCTCTTCTTGTTATTATAGGATTCCAACATCTGTTTTCGTGCTCTTTTCCTTTCTTTTTGGCTGCTCGCTTTCAGTAAACCAGTTGGCTCCGTACAATACCTTCACCGTTTCCAGTTTTAGTTACCCAACAACTAATGTCAAGCCGTTTGATTTGCGTTATATACGAGGTATGTAAATTAATATTAACGGACCCTTTTAAGCATTTGATTGGCTAAGTCTTTTTTTCTTTTTGGTTTTTTCGATGGATTAGTTTTTGTTGGCCGCCATATGATTGGATGATCGTCCTAAAAGTTCTGATTATGTGAAGAATTTGGTTCAGTTAGTGAAAGCTGGTTGCTGTTTTAATTTTATACGTTTGCTAGTTGTTAATTTCTATTAAATTCGCTTCTTGTTTGATTGATAATTGTTCTTATTAAACTTGAGATCATGAATGGATTCTCGTGTGATTCAAATTGATTCTGTTCAATGTAATTTATTTGAGCCCATGAAGTCATCGAAAGTGAGCTCAACTATCATTTCTTCTCCTTGATTATGGTGCTTATCGAACCCTATGATGCGTTCATATCTCTGTGTGTACTTTCTCTCGATCAGTGTCTTAAATTTAGGGACTTCAACAAGAAGACTTAAATTTACTAAATGTGGGATGGCTCTTTCAAACCTCCATTCAATCTTTCTATTAATCTTATCAGCTTTTTGAATTTTGTAAGATGTTGGTTAGAAGCTATTTAATCTTAGCGTTTCTGGTGTTTTGTCTTGTTCCAGTTGATTTGCCGGAATGGTTCTCTTCTGTGTCCGTAACAGTGAAGTCGGATGTAGACCTTGTGAGTATGCTTGATTTGTTGGTTTTTTTTTTAAAAAAAAATTATTTAGTTCTATTTTATCTGATTCAAAACGTTACCTCTGCATTGGTCCCTTTTTCCCTCTGTGTTTTTTTTTTAAAAAAAAAAAATCAAGAAAAGAAAAGAATGAGCTGTGCATTTTTCTGATGGCTACTTTTGATGCCATCTTTTGAATTGCTATCCTTTAATTGGCTTGCGAGGATACTAGACTTGTGCTATACGAATTGCCTTTGAATATCGATGCAATTGCTTATGCTGATTGTTAATTTTGTTCATCATGATGTCTTTGATTTCTCATTAGCTTATGGTTCAAGTTTTTCACAGGATGTGAAAAGCATATCAAAGGTTCCTAAGAGCGCACTGCCACTAATCTGCATCAGAGATGGCAGTCCTCCTCTGCCAGATGTCCTAAACAGTTCTTTTATAGAACTAGGTAAAAGAGTCATAGACAATCAAATGGTTTTAGTTTATCCTCATGAAGCTTTTTTTCCAAAGGAAAGAAAAAGAATAACATGTATTATATATGATTTTGCCCTCCAAAATTATTATTGTCAGTTGTTCGGATAAAAACGCCTGATTATTTTATTCTTGCCCACTGTATTCTTCACAGTAGTTTCATACATGAAATGCCAGAACCTGCCACCTTTTTCTCCGAGAGTGTTTTTTTCTGCAGTTCTTACTTCTGCTTTTGGTTGTGATCAATTGAGAATTTTTTCTTTGTTCTGTTCTATTGTTCAAATCAAATGAAGGAATGACTTTAAGTAGCTCTCACTGTTTTGGTGTCAGGATCCTTCTCCAATGGATCATTTCAAAAAATTCTAGGTCCTCAGAATGTGCTATGCTATCCAATGCAGAGAAATATAACAGTGACACTCACAAATGAGCAGGTATGTCACCATCCTTTTCTACTTGTGATAGGCATGGATTAACTTGTAATGTTGTTATTCAGATATCTCCAGGAGCTTGGTATCTAGGTCTTTTTAATGGCATCGGACCTACAAGGACACAATCAAAAATGGTACAGTTCATCAAACTAGCTATTAGTAAGCATTTCATGTGGTCTCTTTTGAATTTGATCAAATTCTATTGTTTTAATGAGCTTCTTATGCATAGGAAGCTAGTCAGTATGTTGCATCAGCTAAAAGGAATATAGTTGACCAAAAGGAGCACCAGCTTTAGTGAAATAGCTGTTGCTCACAAGGAGCAAAGTTTGGTCAAATAGAAAAGCTTATTGTTGAAATCACTTTGATGGGCTAAAGTTAATTTTTCATTTGTATGAGCAGTATGAATTCAGCTTCTTATTCCAATTAAAGGGAGGATAAAAAAGTTTCAGGAATTTCTGATACATTTGTTTATAGTAGCACATTTAGGAAGCCCTAGAATAATGAAGTTGATATTCTGGACAGATGGTTCATTCTCTTCTCTTTATAGTCATATTTAATTGGTTTTTGTTATATCAATAACAGTGCATCTTTGTGGCTGTCTTCACAATATGCAGCTCAAGTCTTAGCGTCTTACTGGTTTATTTCATATAGCTTTTTCCATTCTAGTTGTTTCTTTTTTTAGTATTTTCTGCCCCCTCTTCATTAAAAAATTCACTTTGGGATGATGATGAGTGCTATTATTTGAATATTGAATTTACTGTAAATCATCTGGCATTGCAGATTATCCGTAGCCCAGCATACTCCTTTAGTGCCAACATCAGTGTGGAAGAATGTGCAACATCAACAATGTGGGGGCAGTATTGCAATCAGACAATTGACCCTCTTTCATGTTACCAAGCTGACAGCTACAATCAGACAGAAATTATTTCTGGTTCTAACTTACAAACAATACAAAATGTGATTTCATGTAAAAATTTGGAAAGTTCTTGCCATGGAGAAGGTGAGCCAAAAGTCTATGCATTGGAGGTGTTGGGAATGGCAGAACAATTAACAATTATGGCAACAAATGTCAGTCTCACTGCTGCCCCATCAAATAGCATTGTTAACGCAGATGTTGCGAACTTAATGTATTTCGCTCGGCATGGTGCAATGCCTTCAATGGCACTATATGATTATTCTGGCGACATGAGTAAAGCTCCTCTCATCATTCGTTTGCCAAAGGTTGGTCGATGGTTTGTTACTATTTTACCCACTAATCTTTCAAAAGAAGTTGGAGGGATTCAGGGTAATAATTTGCAAGTTTGCTATTCCATTACATGGCAAGTGCTCAAATGTCCGGTGGGGAAGGCTGGATTGAATTGCTCTTCAGATAAATACATGCTTCAGGTAAATTTTTCCAGGAACGCGTGTTCCTTGAGTCTGGATCATGAATATATACCGACATGCAAATCTAATTAGATGATTTACTTTAGAATTATCTGAATCAGATATTTGGATTCGTTTATATCGGTGACATTGATAGTTGGCTTTAGATGGAAGTTGTTTTTCAACTTATGCTTGCTGCAGTAGCAGAGAAATAGGCATGATGCTTGGAACCACAGATAAAAATTGAAACCTGAATTTTAATGGAATTGGAAATTGGATCTTTAATAGAAGTATAGTTATGTTTTTGCTTACATATAAATTTGGTTAGTGGGTGCAACCCACCATGAATTCCCATACTGACCTCTTTGCCTGGCTGAGCTGTAGACATTTGAGTTCATAAACCATAGATTGGCTCGAGATACAATCCGGGCTCCCCTTCTTTCCTCTTATCTCTCCTAAACATGTGCAAAAGATGATGTTGATGAATGATGATGAGAAACTCGTGTTGGCAATTTTGTCCAAAAAATTGGAATCAAAGATCTTGTTATGGAGATATTGCATTGGAATGGAAGCACTCTTCTGTACTTCACAATAGTTATAAATTGGCTCACAGATTGTGGAGTGTGATATTAATATGAATTTTACTGCTTCAAAATTACTTTTGTAGATATCTTGTTTTACACAGATCTTTTTTATTTTATTAATGCTTGATGGAAGTTATCCAGGCATTTTCTTTCTTGATTTACAAGCTGAGACTCATTCTTGCAGACAGTTCTCAGGAGAGACTCCACTCCCTTTGAATCCTATTATTTGCCCCTTAGTGGAAAATTGTCACCAGATTCAGCTAATTTTCCTCTTGAACCCCTTTCAAGTAATTTGTCATACAGCGCCGAAATAGATAATTCTTGGACATATTTTGTTTTGAACATTCCTCCTGGTGCAGCTGGAGGGAACATCCACATCCAGCTGACTTCAGATGTGAAGATAAACTATGAAATATATGCTAGATATGGTGGATTACCATCTCTTGACAGTTGGGATTATTATTACGCAAACAGAACAAGAAGCAGTAATGGTTCCATGTTTTTCATGTCATATAATTCAACTGAAGAAAAGGTTGATGTTTACATTCTATATGTTAAGGAAGGAACTTGGACTTTTGGATTAAGGTCTTTAATTACCACCATTAGTCCTTCAAATGATCAGACTGTCATGTCGGTCTCTGTTGAGAGATGCCCAAAAAGATGCTCTTCTCATGGGGCGTGCAAAGTAGCTCTGGATGCCAGTGGGTTGACTTCATACAGGTTTTATATTCAGTCCTTCCAAAATACGATACTTATCTGCCTCCCTAACTTCTAATAACTCTGATTTTTTAATTTCTCAGCTTCTGCTCCTGTGATCGAACGCATGGGGGCTTTGACTGTAGCATCGAGATTGTATCACATCAAGGTACGCATTATTTTTTAGTTTAAAACATCCTTGTAGGGGTCATTACCTAGTAAATGGTAAAACTCTAGTTTAAAACATCTTGCAGCCACAGCGTTCTGAAATTCATGCAAAAATGCTGAAAGGCTGAACTCTCTCCAGATTCTCCTAGACCAACTTCAGAGATGTATTTAAATATAATTACATCCTTCCTTGCAAATTCATGCCTAATAATTCTTTTCGTCTAATCTTTCTGGAATTGCTAGCATGTTGTTCTTACAACTATGCTTTATCACATTGGAAGTAAACAGAGATGTATTTCCATGCCTAAAATCGTAAGGCTTTCAGAAAACTTGCAAATCTAAAACAGAAGTTTGAAATCATGGTCAAACTCTCACCATTTGATAGAGATGTTCTATGTACTTCCTTAGCTTTTCCCTGGGCAGTGAAAGATACTCTAGGAAGCCTTCTGAGAAAAGCATTGATCTTATCTAACAAATTTGGATCAAAGAAGTATAGACCTCTGAATGGAATAGCCAGTTGGAAGTTGCAGGAGGGCAGCGATAATTATTTGACTTGAGTTCGTGAGACAAATTTGGAGATAATCTGCTTTGCCCCTGTTCTTTCGCTTTGTTCTGTTAAGAATTTCTTTTTGCATGTGAAATGAATGTCAGGAGTTATTATCATGCAATACAATGGCTTAGCTAATCAAGTAGCTTTAAACTTATGTAGGGCACATATGGCAATCGATTGCTCTAATTGGATCAAATGCTGCGGCTATACTTCCTGCATATTGGGCTCTTAGGCAGAAGGTCATGCTCTTATTATATTTTTTATTTGATTGAATATTTTAAAACCTTTTGGCAGCAAAGAATGATTTTTATTGCTGTCATGGTGAAACACTTGCCAAACTGCCCAACCCTCGTACTATAATTGGCTTTTTAGTAACAGTGTAAGACTGCTTTGCCTTGCGACCAACAAGAAGAGGTCAGTGATGGTTCATGAATCTCAAGGATGTGCCAGTGATAGATATCTGGGGATAATGTTCATATCTATACCAACATTTAGCTTTGGAATTGATTTCTTCCAATTGGTGAAGCTGAACCTTTGGATCCCCATTATTTAGTTTAAGATCACCAAAAGGATCTTTTTTTTTTCTTTCTATGCAGGCATTTGCAGAATGGGTTCTCTTTACTTCAAGTGGAATTTCAAGTGGATTATATCATGCATGTGATGTTGGCACCTGGTGTGCATTATCCTTTAACGTCTTACAGGCATGTCTCGATTTTTCTTGCTTTTGTATGCACTATTTATGCAGAATATGGTTTCTAACAGCCCTTGAAAGATGATTTGCATACATATTCTACTTGAATAATACCAAAAAAAAAAAATTATCATGGAACCTAATACACCTGGGATTTATGTTCGTTTTGATTAAAAAGTGAGATATTTAAAAACAAAAATTTCTTTTCCTGTTCTCAAATTGTTAGAAGGAATGCATTTGTATTAGTGTAGCAAGTGGAATTTTATAACAGTTAGCAGTTTTGAATCTCTACCCAACTAAAATGCATTCATTCTTGCTTAACTTTTTTGTTATTTTTTGTTAATTTCTATTGTTATGAAATGAGAAATCTTAGGTTTGCTGGCTTAAGTTGTTATTGACTCATCAACTGGAATGTTTCAGTTCATGGACTTTTGGCTGTCTTTCATGGCAGTGGTGAGCACTTTTGTATACTTAACCACCATTGATGAAGTTTCTAAACGAGCAATTCATACAGCTGTTGCCATCCTGACAGCCCTAATGGCGATAACTAAGGCAACCAGGTATGTTGAAGTGGGATACGTAGTTCAAGTTTGTCTGATGCATTTAGCAGGATACAGTGTGCATTTAAGCAATCAAGGTTGATTAACTCTGCAGGTCTTCTAATATTATTCTCGTGATGGCAATTGGCGCACTTGGTCTTCTCATTGGATGGTTGGTAGAATTCTCAACCAATTTAAGGTCATTTTCCTTTTCAAGGGGATTCTGTTTAAATGTGCCCCCGAGGTAAGCATCTTTTGAGACCACCAATGAAGATTCAATTTGATATTCTCTTCATGCGCAAATGCGATATAGAACAAACAGATGCACATGAGTTGCGATAAATGTATACATTGGCATCGATATATTAAAATTAGTATAGAGCAAATTAAATATTGTATATCTGCTGCTTATACCTCACTTAGGCATGCTTTGCTTTGTTGGACATACAACAATTTCTGTTTCCATGATTGTGCTTCATAGGGATTTGAGCTTTGATTTAGCACGAGCTAAGAGAATTAGGACATTGACATTCTGCAACTTAATAAATTAATGGTTTATTGAATATTATTGTGCTTTCCTCACTCATTAAATAATGATGCTCTTGTGCTTGAGTTTCAATTTGTGCTGCTTTTTTTTTTCTTTCTTTTCCTCAAATTCTTCATTATTTTTTGTGTCAAAATATATTTACACCCCATACTGGGGGTGCATGCTTTGCTTGAAGCTTTGTATGCAAAAAAAAAAAAAAAAAGAAAAAGTAGATTTTAATTCAGAGAAAGCTGAACTTGTCTTTTACCATAGATGGGAAGCCATTGGACCACGGCTCAATGATTTAGTCAAGACACTTTTGAGAAGATTCCAATGGGGTTTCGTGCTAGCAGGGTTTACTGCCCTGGCCATGGCAGCGATAAGCTGGAAGCTGGAAAGCAGCGAAAGCTACTGGATATGGCACAGGTACTATGAAATACCTTCGCAAATAGAATATGGTATTATTAATTGTTTTATGTGTCTGGTTTATTGTCGATAACTCGTTCTCAGATGTTTGGTGTGTAAAATGATTTGCAGTCTGTGGCATGTCACCATATATACATCTTCCTTCTTGTTCCTTTGTTCAAAAGTAGACATTATAAATAGTGAAAATCAAACAACGCCAGAGGGAAACTATGGGTTGACACGGCAGGATTCATTTCCAAGAGCTGAACCATAGTTAAGAGGGGAGGAGGAGAGATTTTTGCAGAATTTAGCTCTCCACTTCTCGAAGAAAATAAGCTGTCTACGCTCTTCAGTACATGTGAGAAAATGTAGCTGTCCATACTGAATAAGATTTCTTTGATTGCTTCTGCCAAAGCAGCTTTTACCAAAGTATAACATGTGTCCTACAGCAACAAAGGCCATGTGTTGCTGATTCTTCTTCTCATAAATGTTCCCCTTTTTTCGCCAGGATTTTTTCTTTTTCCCTTTTTGTAAATGTGTATGTACACCACACAAAGGTAGGTTAGATAGCTTAGTGAATTGAGGAAAGAAGGAAATGTTGTTGAAAAGATTTATGGCGAAAAAGCCAACATTGAAGATTAATTTCTTGGGTTTTAAGTCATCTAGGATTATTTTGGTTATAGATCTTTCTTATTAATTAAATTTTATTTTGGTTATGCATCTTTCTTATTGATTAAATTTAACTTCTTTTTGTTTTTTTGTTTTTTTGTTTTTTTTTTTTGGATCCTTTAGGGTATTCTAGGTCAAAGGAAATTAAATTTGACTTATTCATCATAGAAGTGCATATTTGACAGAAGTGTATATTTGACTATTCTTCTCTTTTTACTACTTGCAAATCAGATCTTAAGCTACAGTGATGAGGGTTTGTCGGAGGCAGGAAAATTTGAATCTGTTGACAAACTGGAAAAATATAAAAGCTGGATTTTTGTGTTGGAGGATATTTAAGAAGCATTGATTTCTCTCCCCACAGATAAAGAAGTAATTGGTCATTAAAGGAAATGAAAATATCGTACCATGGTATATAAATTAGCAAGTTGATGGATTCCACCTCGTCAACTAGATTGGTGCCAGCTGATTATTGCAATCTGAATAAAGATTGATCCAGGCATACGGTTTCCAAGTTAGCAGCAGTTTTCATGCTACTGGATATCATGAAAGGAATTGTTTAGATGTAATTCCTCAAAAAGTGGTGAAAACATTGCAAATCTACCGATAAACAATATTAATCACATATAATGTTTATGCTCTCACATATGATTCATTTGAGATGGCTCTCTCAATATGATATGTTCTAGATTGGGAGACGGGCTAGAAGAAATATTTGTCTGCAACAATACAGCAAAAACACAGACCCCACTGTTTAGAAATGTTGCAGAATGAATGGAACCAATATGATGGAAAACAATTGTAACCAAAAAGATGGAGAAAAAAAATATAAACACAAAATCAGGTGGAAGCAAAGGCACTTCATCACCTTAAAACGAATTTCCTATTCGTAACTTCACAAGTCGTGTTCCTCCTATGATCTTCAAGCAGAGGAATCTTATTACGCAATATTGTACAGCACCATCTTGACAATCGCTCTATGGAAAGCTATTAATCCTTTCTACTCTGACAACCCTGCACTATTACTCTTGAATCACTTGTTCGTCTTAAAAAGCAACTTGCTCGGCTGTTTTCTGTTCACATTACCATTTTTTGTTGGGATTGATTTCTGTACTACTAGGCGGCTATTTTTTTATTCTTCTGTTATTACTGAAATACTCCCCTGTGATTTAGAAGAAAGAGAACGAAAATCTGAAGCTGATTGTTCTTTGTAATCCTTACGGATACCCCAAAGAATCTCTGCACATTTCCTCATGCTTGGCCGGTTCTGTCTGCGAGGAGCCAAACATTGCAAGGCTAGTTCGAGAATCTTTTCTAGGGCCAAGTTATTTGCAGCAGTATGTTCTAGTTTGGGGTCCAAGATTACCATGGCATTACCTTCCGCAAACTTCTTTATTGCCTGCACAAAAACCAACTGAAGTCAGAACAGAGAGAATTTTCTTTTGCCCTTATTGACTGCTTTGATCAGAGATTAAATGGAAGGCTTGGGATTGCGTTATAGGTTCTATGGAGGACTTCCATGGTGGACATCGATCAGATATTGCTAGCCTTAGATAACAATAGATCTGTGATTCTATAGTTATTACAGGGCATCATTAATAGTTAATAGTAATACTTGCATTGGGTGAAGAAACAGAAGGAAAGAGGATTGTACCCATCTTGCAGTTATTCGCTCCTTGATTTCCCTTTTTGCTTCAATAGGACGCCTACCTGTCACTAGTTCAACCAGCAATACACCAAATGAATAAACATCACTCTTCTCAGTTAATTGATAAGTCCTCAGGTATTCTGGGTCCAAGTAGCCAGCAGTTCCTTTAACTTGGGTAGACACATGGGTGGCACCTGAATCAGCGTCAGCTGCCAGTCTAGCAAAACCAAAATCAGCTACCTTGGCTCGAAAGTTTTCTGTGAGGAGAATGTTGGAGGACTTTATGTCCCTATGAATAATTGGGTGATCTGCAGGGAAAGAAACAATGATCCAATAAGATATCTCACAACGTTTCTGCAAGTAGCAGAGAAATAGCAGAAGCTCTTTGATACAAGTAAAATTAGGTTAGCTGCCATTAAAAGAAAACCTGTGTACATGTGAAGATAGGTGACTGCATGAGCCACATCAATTGCAATATCTAGGCGCACAGCAAGGTCAATAACGTTTCCATGTATACCTGCATCAATGTCATTCTTGAATCAACAAAATCCCTACTTTTGCAAACATATATCTCCATCCAACACACATATGTGTGCACAAACACACAGAAAGGGTTGCTAAGAACTCACAATCCAAGTGTTCTCTGAGAGTTCCGTTGGGAACATACTCCACAAGAACAATTCTTTCATCTTCATGCTCCAAATATCCATAGAATCTTACTAGATTTAAATGCTCCACTTGTGCCAGTGTTCGAATCTCACTTTGAAATTCTACACCTAAATGCTTATCATATACACTCTGCAGACAGAGATAACCAAGCAACCTGTGAAACCTCGAAACACTCACACTAGATTAAAAAAAATTGCAACTTTCACCAACCTTCTTGGCACGTTTGATGGCAACAAGGGTTCCATCTTGGAGTCTCCCCTTGTAAACTGTTCCAAAACCACCTTGTCCAATCTTGAATGTGGGAGAGAACTTCCTTGTGGCTGCATAGATTTCTTCCATGGTAAACTTTACACTCCCAGGTTCTCTTCCACGGACTGAATTGGACGGACTGCTATAGATACCTCCATGTGAACTCCTCCTCCTTTCACTGCCTCCAGAAGTATTGGATGCAACTGACAGGAACAAATTTGAGTAGTTAATTCTAACACTACAAATTAATTTTTGTATTTAAAAGCAAAAAATAATAATTCATCAACTACTTCAAGTATGCCTCAATGTTCTGAAACTAAGGCATTGTTGCACAAATTTGTCGAGTGAATAGACTTAAAAGCCAGACATGCAGGCTACTTTTTTCTTCTTTAAGATTAATGACACGTTTTTCAATTGGGCCAAGAACCTGAATCCCAGTTTCTGTTGCTTCGGAATAATACCTAATCTGCTTATTTAATTTGATTTTATCATAGTAATACATTGTGGCTCGGCACAATTTTTACCATAAAATCGATAAATGACAAAGAAAAAAAAACTTGGTATATATAAACCTACGGAAATAGAAGGCTTATCCTTTCCTTTTCCTTTTTTTTTTTTTTTTGATATTTTACAAGCAATGGGATATTTCCATTCCTTGGACTTGGGTCAAAGAAGGCCTGCCTTGTAGGGGTTTATCTTTTCCATTGCAAATCAACAAACTAGATCACCAAATTAACAAATTTTATAAGTAAGGTTTCATGTAATCTATTAATAATTAAATGTTGTCATAGCACAATAAGAATTAGAAAAGAAGTGATCTTGGATAAACCATTCACATTCAATAATTTCTCATTCATTTCTGAATAAAAACTTAAATGATCAAAAATATATATTCAAGGATCTGATCACTTGCTTCCAACAGGACCTTTTAAGCGACAATTTGTTTGCACAGAAAATATAAGAAATTAAAAAACAAAACATCATTACCGTATTATAATCACATTTTATATTCCATAAAACCCAAAAAGAAAAATCTCTAAAAACATTATTCATCTTGTGAATCAATAACCACATCTCAAGTTTCTCACCTTTTCTCTCAGCACAAACTTACCACAAAGCAGTAGAAAAGCCAGAACAAAACAAACAAGAAATTTACCGGAGGGTGCTTTTAACTCTTCAGAGTAACCAAAATCCTTTGAATTGTTTGGCTCAGGCTCGGGAGGCGTGAAACAACCGACAAACACTCCAGCCACCGATTTAGCGGCCACCGACAACGGGTTCCGCTTCTTCACGATGGAGCCGCCCGAGTAAGTGGAGGATGTCGGGGAGTTTGGAATACGGTCTGGCGTAGACCGTACGCCGGAGTCCGGGGTCCGGCGAGAGTAGAGAGAGTATGGGCTTGTCATTGTTTAGACTTCAGAGAGAGGGAGTAGAAACGTCGGGTAGCCAAAGTTAAATAATAAAAAAGAGAAGACTTTGATTTTTCAAAGGTGGGTGTTGGCAGCTAACGGGAGCCGTTGAAGTTATGAATGGCAACAGGCACCAGTTATAATTAAGCTTGAGGTTTGAATTTTGATTATTGGCAATGATTGTGTAATAACGCAAGCTAAGTCCTTTTTCTTTCATGCAAAGCTTTTTCTTCTTCTCTCCTTCTTCTTCTTCTTCATTTTTTTTTTTTTTTAAAAAAGAGGTTATTAGAAGGCTCAACAATTCAGAAAACGACTCTGGGACCAAGAGTATTTCATCGATCACTATATAAATTCTTTCTTTACTTTTTCCTGATTAATTTTTTATGTGAGTAGAATTTAATTTCAAAATTGTTTGATATAAATGCTAAATAATTTTATTAACTAAATTAGTTGGTACACATTTTTTTACACTAAATTATAACAATAATAACAAAACCTCAACCCCAACTTTATCGGGGTCGGTAAGTTTACATCATTTTACACAATCACATACCAAATCTGTCTCAATATCAAAAAAAACTAAATTGCTTGAGGTTTAATAAATCTATTGAGTTACACAATAGGATAACTCTTCATATCATATAATTATTAAAGAAATTGAAATCATCATTACTTGAATTTTGCTTTATTAGAAAAACTAATTAAATATACAATCGTTACACTAAATATGTTATATATAGCGTGAAATATTAAAATATAAAAAAAATAAAAGGTCAAGGGTAGAGCTAGATTTTATCAAAAATTCAAAGACCATTTCACAGTTAACTTTATTATAATCAATTAAGGGCCGAGAAGAGTTATTTAAAAAAAAAAAAAAAAACGGAGGAGAGGGTTGCAGGAATCTACTTGGAAAGATTCAATTCAGCTTGCCAAAAGTGAAAAAATAGATTGATATTCCACTAAAGAAACAAAATCAAGCGTTCGCGTCATCAACACTCCAAAAAGTGAAAAAAAAATGTTAAATCATGAAAGCTTTTATCGTTAAGAAGTGTGGAAAACTTCGCCTGTTTAAACCACAAAAATCCCAAAAAGAAAAAGTTTATGGTATTGCTTGATGGGGTCCTGAGTCAAAGTCCAGCACTTGGTAGCAGCTAGTGGCATTCAATTCCCTCAGTCAGAAATAGAAGGAAACAACTTGGCCTGTCTTAATGGCACTCAATTCCTACTGGACAATTTGCACAAAGACAGAAGGGCTGTGACCTTACACTGAACTGCCACGTCAGTTGGGTCTCTGACTTTGCTCTATTAAATTTACCTCAAGTTGTAACGGTAGCTTCTGATCTTTTCCTTGTCCAAATCACAGTTGGTTTCCCACCAAAAACACTGATAGGAAATAACGGTTAGTTGATCAGGATTTAGGAATTCTTGCAAACTACTTCAGAAACAGAAGCTGAGTGGTTGACTGAGGGGGACACCCATGGCCCCACAGACCCTAGGATCATGGCATTTATAAAAACTTCAAAATTTGATACTAATAAGCAAGATTTCAATTTAGATTCTCTACCTTCTTATTTCTCAAGCCAATTTCACACGCTAAGACAAACAATGAATAATGACCCGAAGACATGAACATTCATTTAAGATTTTTCTCTATATCCCTATATTTTTTAAATTATTTTGATTGATTTTATTATTATTATTATTTTGTTTCCATCCTTTTATTATAATGTCATTGTTTCATTAACTCGATTAACTCGTTTATTTCTAAATACATGACATGTATCATATGTAAAATTGTAATAAAAAAACTCAATTAAAATAATTTAAAAAATACAAAAGCTCAATCAACACAATCCAAAAAATACATTGATCAAATTATTATTATTTTCAAACCTCATCTTTAATACACGAAATGCATCATATTTGAGACGTTAGAGTAAACTTGTAGTATTTTTTTAAATTATTATAGTAAGTTAAAATTATAAAATAATAGTAAAAACAAACAAACAAACCAAACATGCAATTATCAAATTAAAAATATGTTAATGTGCAATATTGATTAGATATAAATTGTTAGTTAATGGTCTAATTCTCCATTAAAAAATAAGAAATTTCGAATATTTGACAAATTCAAAGTTAAAATAGGATTCCTTTCCCAAAAAAAAAAACTAGAGATTGTAAAATATTTTTTTCTTTGATGTAGATAATAAGCTATCAATCAATATTAATGTTGTTTTCATTTTAATTTTTATGAACATATTTATAACTTTTTTTTTAGTTACATGTTAAAATCATTTTGTATGTATTTTATTATTTTTAAATTATTATAATAATTTTTTTAAAAATACTCTTCATAATTTTATTATTATAAGATCTCACATATGACACGTTTCATTACATATAAGATGAAATCTTAGAAAAACAATAACATGAAAATTTTAAAAAGAAAAAACAATAATTTGATTTATGTACTCTTTAAATTATGTTGATTGAATATCTATATTTTTCGAATAGTTTTAATTGAATTCTTTTATAAGAATCTCACGTATGACACGTATCACGTATTCATGAGTGAATATATTATGTCAACTCATGAACTAATAGCATTATAATGAAGAGATAGTAACAAAACAAAATAAAGAGTAAAAACACTCAATTAATATAAAAAAAAATTATAGAATCTCAATCAAAATAATTTAAAGAATACAGAACATGAAGTCACGTCAACTCATGAACTTATAGCATTATAACAAAGAGACAATAACAAAACAAAATACAGAGTAGAAATACTTAATATATATAATCTCAATTAAAATAATTTGGAAAGTACAGGACTCTATGAGACGCAAAACCCATTAATTTAATTATGTCCTGCCAAACCTTCCAGATTAAGAAAGTAATAATAGTGGCTGCAAAAGAAAGGTACTATAACCATGAGGGAGGAAAAAAATCATTGCTCCTTTCTGACTATTATTTTTGTAATATGTTCAGAAATTAAAATTGAGACTGATTGCAAATTAAAAGAGCGTTGCTTTTATCAAAAAAAAAAAAAAAAAAAAAAAAAGAAGTTGCTGGATTATTAGAAACAACAATATATCCAAAGTGTGCACCGCACAGGAAGAAACAAACTTCACCCTTTGATTAGAAGTCAATCAATTGGTCTGTGTAGTTAGGGTGGAGATTGTCAGAGTAATTAACAGTGATTAGGACTGAAGTGGCAGTGGAAAATGACAGAGTTCTGCAGTTTGTTGAAGATTGCCAGAGTTTAAAGGGAGACGTTCCATCAATACCTGTTTTACAGAAAATAAAAAAAATGGATTATTGTTGATTTGGCTTGTGATTAGGGAGATGTGACAAAGTAATCAGAATCCAACCAACTTTTAGTGGTAGAAGGCAGTTGATGTTCTATACTGGATCTCTATCACCTAACATGTTGATGTCAGCAACATAAAGAAAGAAATGTAGAAGACAGGATTATGTGATATTTACATTAAGAAAATTATCAAATTGACATAAAAGGTTCTTGCTTCCATCAGATTTTAGTGGATTTACTTGTACAATAATGACTTTCGCTTCAGCACAAAGCTTGATCCCTCTGCTTAACATGGTTACAGTTTAACTTGCTTTTTACATTTGGACGCTCTCACCCAGCTAGGTCCAATAAAGACGAAAGGGGGCTTAAGCCTGCTATCAAAACATCTTTTGTAAATTTCATGTTAGGAACAACCAAACATAATTGTTAATAATCATCACATTTTGCAAATAGGCATAACTCAAGACAAGGACCAAACTGATAAACACCCACCACCAGTCGAGAAGCTTGTTTCAGGCCAAGGCATCAGATCAGAGAGGGGAGCTATAGTGCATATTCATCCCGAGCATTCTCATGCATGGCATGTACTTAGAAAGAAGATATTCTTCCTGTATTGCCCATGGCAGCATTTCCCACATACCATACCCTTTTAAAGCTTGATGGTGGCATTTAAAATTTGACAGGAACTTCGTGTATGGTACCGGCTTATTCCATCCAGCTACAACCTGGAACCCTGTGATCACACCTATCCCTCATCAGTTTGCGTATTCTTGCCACGTCATACCAGTGACCTTCAGAAGCATAGATGCTAGACATAAGAGTATAATTTACAGGCTTGTTTGGCTCCAGTTCCAAAAGCTTTTCTGCAGCCCATTTAGCTAATTTTACATCCCCATGGATTTTACATGCCCCGATAAAGGCTCCCAGCATATCTGAACTACACTCGATTGGCATTGAATTCAAAATATTAAAAGCCTCGTCCAAGAGACCAGCTCGACCAAGAAGGTCAATGAGACAAGTATAGTGCTCTAAACCGGGCAAAATATGATAATCTTTCATTAAACTAAAGTAATGAAGCCCTTCATCTATCAGCCCTGCATGGCTACAGGCAGAAAGAACTTCAAGAAAGACAATTCGATCTGGCCATACACCATCAGATAACATCTTCTCAAAAACATCAATACTATGTTTTGGAAGACTATGGAATGCATATGCACCAATAAGTGAAGTCCACGTAACAAGATCAGGCTCCAGAACTGTGCTAAAACAATGAAGTGCCGTTGCAATGCTACCACTCTTAGAGTATGCGTTTATCAAAGCGTTTGCAATCAATAAAAAGGCATGAAAACCATTTTTAAGTACACAAGCATGGACTTGCATAATTTCCCAACAGGCCAGTGCACTGCTGCATGAGCTAATAATGCTAGCCAGAGTAATTTCGTCAGGTCCCAAATCTTCTTGAAACATTCCTTTGAGAATTTTCATAGCTTCTTCCCCATCTCCAAGGCGACCATAACCCACAACCATAGTATTCCATGAGACTACATTTCTAGCAGCCATCCCATCAAAAGCCTTGCGAGCATCATCTATATTTTCATTCTTTGCATACATATCAACCAGTCCACTAGCCACCAATACATCTAAATCAAAAGACAGTTTGATAGCAAGACCGTGCATCTGTCTTCCCAAGTCACAAGATCCCGAAGTCCCACATGAATTGAGCATACTAGAAAATGTAAAACCATCTGCCGTAAAATTCTCCTCTTGCATTAACTTAAAGAATCTGGGAGCCTCTTCACCCAGGCAATTCAGAGCATAGCAAGACAACATCACATTCCATAACACCAAATCTCTACAGTATACTTTATCAAAAACACGCCTCGCTTCCTTGACTAATCCACATTTCCCATACAAATCAACCAGAGCACTGTTGACAAAACAATTCAGTTCAAAGCCCAATTTCACTATAAAACAATGCAATTCTCTACCAATCTTAACATCATCTAACTCAATACATGTACGAAGCAACCCGTTAACAGTTATAGCATCAAAACCTACCTTATCAAGCAACATTTTCCTAAAATAATAAAAACCCATATGGACACCTGACTCATAAGCACTACCCCCACAATCAATAAGCCCGCAAATTACAGTATTCCAAGTGACGACGTTTCTCACATGCATTTCATCAAACAATCTATGTGCATAATTAAATTCCTTGCATTTCACGTAAACGTTCAAAATCTGATTTTGCAAAGACAAGACATTACAAAATCCCAACTTTATAACATGTGAATGTACTTGTTTTCCTTCGTAAAGAAAACCCATTTTGGCAGCGAAGTTTAGGGCTTTGGAGCAGAAAGAATGGGCTGAGTGAAGATCGGCCAAGCGGGTTGAGTCGGGAACGGTTGTTAATGATCTGAGGCGACTAGGAAGGAGAAGTGAGAGAGATGTGGTGAAATGGGTTGTTGTTCTTGGTGGCATAATTCTGTTTATTGAAGAAAGAAATGGCGGGAATGGTGACGACTTTGAAAAGAGAGTGGCATTTGCAGATCATCGGAAGATGTAATAGAAATTAAGCACTTAACGTAAGAAATTATTCTATCTTTTCCGTTCTTGTGTGATTTGACTTTGTTAACTCGTGGCGGTCAATTTCTTTTGCTATTTCATTTTTCTTTGAATAATTCTACAATGTGTAGAATATTGACATATTATCTCATCATAACCAGGCGGCTAGCAACCAGAAAAGAGTAATTATTAAAAAAAAAACTATGCGAATTATAGGTCTTTAAAATCCTTACAAAAAAAAAACTAATTTTAATTGAGCATAAAATTATTTTAAAAATATCATTTGTTTTTAAAATAAAAAATTTATTTAATATGATGAAATGCAATGTAACGAAGTAGGTAACTAAAATTGTAGTAAAATTTTTCAATGCTATCCTCTCTCTCTTTCTCCCCCTTACAATCTTTTTTTAGCATTTTCTTTCTTAATTAGAGTGTGTTTCAATAACTTATTTTAACTCTCTCTCTCTCTCTCTCTCTCTGGACAGTATTTGAGAAATAATCAAATGATCAATCAATCTACCGATTAAGATATAAAAATCTAGTATTGTGACCTATAAAAATAATGATTAACTAATCACGAAAAATGAATACAAATAAAAAGAGGTGTGGAAGGAAGAGTAAACAATGCTAACATGCTCCAAGTCAAGTAATAAATAGGTGCATGGTCAAAATTCAAACGAGATGAAACTTTAGATGTTTGATATGTAAATAAAAGAGTTTTGAGAGAGAGTGTGTGTGTTGTGATGTTTTTGTTAAGAATTTGTAAAGAATATGAAAGTTAAAATCCCTTTACAATGGCATAAGGTTGTCATTTATAGTAAATTAGACTGTTAAGATCATGTCATGTCATCCATGTTTGGATGATCAAGTTAAGTTGAATAAAACTGAATTTTCTTGGGTTAAAACTACTTCAAGTTGGTAGCAAAAGCTAAATAAATTAACGAGTTGGGTTTTTTATCCGATCTTATTTTGAGCCTACCAAATCAATCTTCTTAACGCACTCTAAAGAGAAGGCATAGACATTGGTCCTATTAGAATACTCATGTATATTCTTACGCGGTCCAAAATCTTGTGCTAAGTAAGGCTTATCTTTAGTCTAATTCATTCGTTGTGTAACTTGAACTCATACTGAAACTTTTAAAAAAATATAGATTAATACTTCATGGAAAATATATATATATATATTTGTTGAAGTAGCATTCCGTGGGGTTTAAGGATATGGAAATAACCAATAATTTTGCTTCATAAATCCATATATCAATAGATCTTATATGGATTTTATATATTTAAGCTTATACAAATTTATAGAATTTCAACCTCATCTCTTATACACCATGTTATAGAATTTCAACCAATAATTTTATATATTTTGCTATAAATGGATTTAGTTCTTATACACTATGTTAAAATTAGTTTTGTGAATCACTAATTTTTTTTCATGATATTTTTCTTATTATATTCTCTATTATTTTATAATATATTGTGTGATTGTAACACTTTGTACTTGTCTTGTCAAATTTTATTTGGATTTAGTTAACAACATGGAATTATCTTATGCTCAAAAAGTAAAATTCACAATGCGGTGCAAGTTTTTACCAATTTCATTTTAGCTCTTGTAACTTTTAAAAAATTTATTTTGATCCTGAATTTCATTGCTTACAAAGAAGCTGCGGTTTGGAGGGTTTTTAACCCTTTTTTTTTTACAAATAAAATTTCCTAGTATTATTTTTTTTTCCAATTAGATCCACTGTGTGATTGCTTTTAAATTTAGGAAAACTACTAATACATTAAGTTTTGATAAAGAAAAGACCCATAACTTATAATAATATATTTTTCATTGACCACTAAGTTCATCCTTTGAACTTCTTTCTCCAAATTAACTCAATTTTACGAAGAAGGTCGATAGATAGATCAAAATATAGCAAACTAGTGTTGTGATTTATAAATGTAATTATCGACCAACCAAGTAGAATCAAATGCAAAAGTAATAAGAGGTGTGAAAGGAGGAACAAACAATGTTAGCAACATGTAAGTTGAGTAATAGGCGAGTGGATGGTCAAAATCCAAAAAGATAGAGTTTTTAAATATTATATAGCGTATGAATGAGAGAGAGCGAGAGAGAGATTTTTATCGAGAGATCAAAAAGTTTGAATTATCCTTGTAATAATGTGATGTTGACATTTATAGTGAAATAAAGATGACCCGGCTTGATCGCTAAAATCGTATCACGTCATTTATTTTTGGATAGTCATATTTGAATTTAAGAAAGTTTGATTCTTTCAAACTAAATTGCTTCAATTTGCTAGCAAATATAAAAAGAAATGACAATTAATCATTTCTCTAGCATACTCAACATCTAACCCACTAGGTCAATCTTCCTAACTCATTTTAAAAATAAGACATCGACAATGAGTTTTTTAGAATACTTGTATCCATTTTTACGAGTCAAGGCCTTACTAAGCTAGACCCATTTCTAATCCAATCTTTTTATCATGTAGTTTGGACTCGTACCAAAACTAAAAAAAAAAAACAATAATATGGATTAGCACAAAATAATTAAATTACTTAAGTAATTTGAGAGAAAGCCAAACCTATACAAATTTTTAATACATTCCTTAAAACACCTTTTTGGATATGAAGTTATCAATTTAATATACCACTTTCAGTCATCATTTTTACTTTTAAGATCTTACGATTAATTTTTTTTAATATCTTTAGAGTTACTTGTTGCCTTGAAGTATGATATGCTTTTTATTTAAACATTATAATTTGCTTTCATTAAATTTTTTAGATCAACAAGGCATCGTATTGCCTTGTAACTTTCTTTTTTTTCGTGTATTAATTTTGTATGGTTGAACAAATACTTCATGGATTCACTTTGAAGAGAGAGATAAATACATAAAAAGGAGAGCGAAACATGAGAGAAAAAATTTAAAAAAATTGAGCAAATGTGAAAAACTTCTTATCACTTTTGATGGATCCGGATATAATTTTCTCTCATTTTCATGTGTCTATCTTTCTTATCAAAGTGGATCCATAAAGTAATTACTTGTACATGTTACTAGTTACTCCTTGAGTAATATAAAATTTCTCATTGAACAAGAATATTTTCACATTAGGATAACTTAAAGCATACTTAATATCTTTTTTTTTCAAATATATAACTTTCATTGATATGAAAAAAAAATCTTCTTTCATATGATCAATTGAAGCCAATATAAAATAATACCTTCTATAGATAAAGAATAAATAAGGATTGTAATGTCATCTAGGAACTTATAAAAGCATATAAAAAAATTAAAATAAATATCGGATTTGGAAAAAACAAATTTCTCGACATTAAAAAACTATACTACAAGAGGAAGAGATTACTTGGAACATGTATTTACTGTGATTATCGGCTAATGGTTGTGCCACTTTTAAATCTTTTAATTGCTATTTTTTTTCATCGTAGACCATGGACATCAATCATCAATATTCTTGAAAAAACTTTCGTGTAGCACCACAAATACCCATAAAGGATACGGATACTAACAAAAAAGAAATAAAGAAAAACCTTGCAAGGAGTAAAAAGTGTCAAACTGTAGAATCAAACATGTAATTTGTAGAATAAACTAAAAAAAAACATCGGATCTATACTATTAGATCCAAGATTATTGAAGAAAAAGATAAAAACTATAATATTGTCTCCAATGAAAATCATGGCATGCGAGTTGCTCATTAATATGAAGATAAAATATAAATTTTATGAGTGAATGAGAGAGAAAAATGAGTTAATTGTATTTTTGTTGTATCCATTTGTCAATTTTTTCTACTTAGTATGCGTTTTTTAATTTTTATTATTTAAATAGATGGTTGTAATTTTTTATTTGAATATTTTTGTTAACTCGCGACCATGTATACATTATCTACACACGCGGATCGTCGGGTGGAACCTATGTCAACATGCGACAATGACATGGCGGACAAGTGTTAAAAAAGTTAATAACGGGGACAATAAAAAAAAAGTAAAAGGAAAATGTTATGGGAACTATGAGAAACAAAATTCTCTCTCTCTCTCTCTATATATATATATATATGTAAAATATGGAAATCGGATTTTCTCTTAAACCTAACCCATTGTTTGGATATTTCCTCTTGGAAGGAAAGAAAGTGAGAGAAAAGAAAAGTGAGAGGAAAGAAAACTATTTCTACTTGTTGTTTAGATAAAAGTAGAAATGAAAGGAAAAAAAATATATTTTTCTTGTTTGGATTGTTGTAAAAAGAGGGAGGAAAGAAAATGTATTATTATATATTTACTATAATACCCCTATGATTATATTTCTCCTACAACACACGACAATCAAATAATGCATTATAAGGACAACCCATGTTTCCTCACAAATAGTACCCACGAAGACTAGAGACTTATCCAAGATCAATCACCATCTATACACATCACGTGTTACATATCGGATAATCATACTTAAGCTGTTAATAAAACGTAATCATCTTTTCCTAAATCGGCCATACATAAAGTGGCAATAACCAAACCATCTCATCTTAGAACAGGAAATAGGCATTAAAAGGAGGCTTAACTTACGATGCACTTAGGAAGGCCTATAGCCTAGCTCACCAAACGAGTACACCACTCCAACAAATAAATGAATCACCGAGCACCAAACTACCTAAGACCACCACCAACAAACATACCATCCAAATAGCGTCAAACTAACTAACTAACTAATTATATATAAAAAAAGAAAAATTAGTAGCTAAACAATCGTTAATACTTACTGTGGATAAGGGAAGTAATTGTAAATCTTCTTATTAAGTATGTTAAATATCACGTTCAAGGAAAGGAAAGAACATGGGACGGCCGGGGCAAGGGTAAAAACGGGAATGAAAAAAAAATTGTTAAGCATCACGGTTTTCTC